TGGCGTGGTAGGCTTCTTGCGGCTTGGTGCTTTGAGTGAGTCCTCGCTCTGTGCACCTTGCTTGGAATGTGCCATTGGGTGGTTTGCACCACAACTTGTCTGCTCAGGACGCGGCTGCTAACGTTGTTTGCGTCTTGCTGCGTTTAGCCAGTCCAGTTTACGCTCCAATCAGCATGGCTGCCGATGAACCCTAAACCCCAGACCCTAAACCCTAAACCCTAAACATTCAAGCTCAGCCAGGTGTCCGCGTCGCCATCGTACTGCGCTCGCTCCTCTTCCGGGTTGTGCAGATACGACGTCGGGCTTCGGTTGCCTCGTGCTTTCCAATGCTCCCAAAAGCTGTGAACCAAAAGCCCTGAGCCCTTCCAGCTACACAAGTTGCCCCAAGCAGGGCTCATTCAGCTTTCGGGCTTGGAACTCAGTAAGGGGAACGTCCGGCCAGCGTCGGGCTTCGAGGTTGCGGTCGCAGCTGTCGAGGGTCTAGGAGGGTCTTGGGGGGTCTGGGGCGGTCTAAGATTTACAGTTGAGGGTCGCCCCTAAACTCCCTCAGCTGTAAACCCATAGACCCCAGGCCTTTCCTTGAAGCTTGGAGGCGCTCAGGGTTGGAGGCAGTTCTGGAAAGTGACGCACCTGTACCCTAAGCCCTACATCCTAAATCCTAAGCGCTTCTAACCCTTCGCCCGAGTCACCCTAAACCCCAAAACGTACAAAACCCCAGAGAAAAGTAAGAAAAACAACAAGTCCCTCCGCAGCTAGCCCTTTAACCCCTAAACCCTTAAAGGCCCTACACCCAACCCCTCAAAAGCTCAAGCCTCTTACTACAGCCCCAGATCAAGGTCTAGTAGTTGCCCAGCAGCGTGAAGCGCAGTACCTCGGCAAGAAATGAGATGAAGGTCCGGGGGGCAGGGCTCAGGGTTCCCTAAAACCCTAAACCCTGAACCCTAAACCCTAAACCCCAAACCCTGCACCGTTTAGGGGTTTAGGCCGAACAGCAACGGGCAGAACGGAACAGAAGCTCTCGGAGCCCAAGGGGTCTTGGGTTTTGGGCGGTTTGTGGGTGTAAGGGGTTTAGGGTTGAGGGGTATTTAGGGGTTTTCGGACCCTAAACCCTAATCCCTAAACCCTAAACCCTCAACCCTTGTGCCTAAACTCTAATCCCTGAACCCTGATCCCTGAACCCTAAACCCTAAACCCAAAGCCCTGCGCGCCGAAGAACGGCATGGGGCAGCCGGGGACGGTGGTGTTATCCACCGGCCCATGGCCCAAGAAGACCTCCGGATTGTTAGGGTTTAGGGTTTAGGGTTTAGGGTTTAGGGTGTAGGGCTTAGGCTTCAGGAGCCTCTTCAACAGGGTCTTATGGTCCATAGACCTTCTTGGGTTGATAGGCTCATAGGGTGTTGAGGGGGTTTGAGGGAGTTTATGGTTTTATGGCCCAGATAAACCTTTAGCAAATCCGAAATTTGGCAAATACCCAAACAAACCCCCACTCGATACGCCAGATTCAATCCAAGAACCCCGTAAAGTGCAAAACGTTCTGAGCAGCGCGCAGTATTCCAGCACACCAGAAAATTCCGGCGAACTCCTGTGCAACACACTCATGTCTTCTGCCTTGGCAGGTCGGATGTTGTGGTGCGCCATCCGAACCTGAGGTGAACCCCTTCCCTCCCGGAACTTCCCACACAGATTCACATGAGCACAGCTGTTGCAACTCTTACGCTCCCATGGCACCCCAACACAGGGTTTAGGGTTTAGGGTTTTGGGTGTGGCCATGAGCATGACATGGTGACGATTTGGACTTGCACGCCCAAACCTTATGATCCTTCGGGACTGGATCGACCTCCAAGTGCTACCTGCTTGACCTCCCGCCTACACGACTCGAGCTTGAGTGTAGGGCTTCGGGCCCCTTTTGGGGAGTCCTCTAAGGTGCCGCATTCTGTATACGGGACCCCAAAGAGGACCCTAACTTGGAGAACCACCCAGATTCTAAACAGTGCATGCATACAAGGAGCGCGTACCTGCAGGTTCTGGTACGTGCAGGTTATGAACCTGTCATGCCCCCTCCGAACCCTAAACCCTAAACCCTAAACCCTAGAACCGACTCTCCATGCGCCGCTGGGTGGCAGCTTCGAACATACCATCCACGAGCGCCTGACATGGGGTGGACTGGCTGGTTCTTAGAAGGGAATGAGGTACCCTGTGTAATCCCTTAAAGGGCATATATATATATCTTCATTTATTTAATTAATTTATTTATTTGTATTTATATTTATAGGCCTGCTAAGAATCAGGGGGGAAAAGGGGGGGAGGGGAGGGGCGGAGGTCAAAAGAGGCCCAAGAGGACGCTTGTGCATGTACATGGTGAACCCTCCAAGCTTCGTTTAACTATGGTTGGGCTCGGTTCCTGAACTGCTCTCTGCCTAAGAACCCCCACCAAAAAAATCAGAATACTCTTCCCCCTAAGGGCACTGTTTTTATTGTGATTTCAACGAGCCCCTGACGCCCCAGACTTGGAATACCCCCAAACGCCCAAGCCCCCGCAGCACGCTACACCCCGACACCCTCAACCCGCCCCAAAGAAAGGTCTACTTGATTTTATAGTTCAAGGCTCTAGCGAGCTTAGTCTTCAGCATTCTGATCCATCGGGGTCTGGAATCTGCCTCAAACTTAGACGTTCTAGCACCTCCAATGGACGGGGCCTTCGTAGACTGCTTGACATAGCCGAAGGAGGAGAACTGGTAGAGGTAGTACCTCAATGTCGTTGACGACTTCCGTGACTTGCAGACCCCCTACGGCGGGCTCTGCATGCATGCGCGCGGGCAGAAGGCACCCAGTCGGAACCCCGAACTCCAAAAAACAACCCCAGAGGTGCTGAAAACCCCAAGGGTTTAGGGTTTAGGGTTTAGGGTTCAGGGTTTAGGGTTTAGGGTTTAGGGTTTAGGGTTTAGGGTGGGAGGAATGTGAGCCAGAGTGCCTCCCCCAAGCCCAACTCGAGTTCTTAACAGAAGGTGGAGAGCCTAGGTTGTTCCTTCCTTGACAGGCCATGGCTGCTTGGCACTCCTGCAGAAGCAGAAGTTCGGGCAAGCTTAGGGTTGAGGGTTTCTTTCTAGGGTTTAGGGTTTTAAGCAAGGCAAGAAACGGGCTCGTTCCAGCTGGCCCCTGGTGCGTGTGCGAAGGGCCAATGAGGACGTTGTGCCTGCCCAGGGCTTCGGGGGGGGGCAACTTTCCGAGCTTCAGGCGAACTTGGAAGGTTCCTTGGGTAGAAAGACAGGGGGTTTAGGGTTTAGGGTTTAGGGTTTAGGGTTTAGGGTTTAGGGTTTAGGGTTTAGGGTTTGGGGTTTAGGGTTTAGGGTTTAGGTTTTAGGGCAACTTGAAGGTTCCTGGGTAGCTAGAAGTGGGGTAGTATAAGTAGGGTAACTATAGTTATAACTGGCTGTAACCTTAATTAGGGTACTTCGAACCCTACTTATATCTACACATGAACCTCCCAGGAAAACTGCCAGATTTTCAGGGGGGGGGGGGGGGGTTCTGCCAGTTTGGAACCTCTTCCCATGCTCGTCACTTGCAGTCAGACTCTAAAAACCAAGAAAACCAACTATCCTAGGTACTGTAATTAAACTCTATGTACCCTAAACCCTGAACCCTGACTAACCCTGAGAACCCCAAGTATCCGAAGCATGACATCGACATCTCAAGCGTTTTCTGGATGCCTGGGTTCAATTCAGGGGCCCTTAGGACCCTAAACCCGAAGCCCATCAAAAACCATGAGCAACAGACCACGAACGGGAAACCACAAACCCGAACCCTACCAAGGAAAAGTGCCCTACCAAGGAAAAGTGCGTGAATGCCGGCGCATGCAAAAACCCAATAAACCCCAACAAGCCCCAAACCACCCCCAAACCCTAAACCCTAAACCCCAAACCCCAAACCCGAAGCCCTATGAGCCCCATGAAGCCCCGAAATCCGACCCCCAAAAGCTGCCTGCTGTAGAGGCCTGGCAGCTCGAAGTACAGACGCCTCTCGAGGCCTCGCACTTGTTTGGGCTTTTCGAGGCTTGAAGAGGTGTAGGGTTAGGGTTTAGGGTTTAGGGTTTAGGGTTTGGGGTTTAGGATTCGCAGCTGGCAGCTACGAAGGGGGCTCCCTACTTGAAGTTTCATGGGTAGTCATATGTGGGGATGTAAGCAATGTAACTGTAATTATCACTGGTCATAACGCTTCGCTCTCCTTTCTCCGCAGGAAGCTTTGCACCCGAGCTCTGAGAAGATGGCTTCGCAAAAAGGAGTGGGCTGGGAGCAGGGGAGTACCGCAGGCAACAGAACTGGACCATGACAGGGTTTAGGGTTTAGGGCTTCGTGTCTAGGAGCCTCCTGCAAGCTGAACATGTCAGACACCGGCAAGAATAGGCACTCCCCGCCCAACTTGGCCGTGACGGTCCTTTCTCTAAATTAGGATCCCTTTTGGGTTCAGGGTTTAGGGTTTAGGGTTACTATCACATAAGGCTTACTTAGGACACCCAAAAAGGGATCACAACTTAGAGAGCTGACGAACCCGCACCGGCCAGAAAAAACTCCAAGACAGAGCACGTGGACCCCTTAGGGGTCGGGCTCGCATCTCGAGAGAGAGAAAGCTGCGCTCTCTCCCTGCGTTCGGCGGGATGCCCTGGTAGTTTTGGGGTATACAGTAGGGTTTATTGAGCACCCTAAACCCTAAACCCTAAACCCTAAACCCTAAACCCTAAACCCTAAACCCTAAACCCTAAACCCTAAACCCTAAACCCTAAACCCTACTTATCCGAACTGCTTTGAGTGTTTGGAGAGGAGTCTAGGACGTGTTTCAGATTTTGAGGATCGCGGTTTGTCTCCATTCTAAGCCTTCCAACCCTAAACTATGCAAGCCCTACAACTCAAGTTTTAGGGTTTCGGGTTTAGGGTTTGAGGCTTAAGTGTCTTCTGGCACACTGCTCCCCCCGGAGCTTGAGGCAAGGGCCTTTGCCGCTTGCGAAACTACCCGGCGGTCAGGACCCCTGGCGGCACGCAGCCACTGGTCAGATTCCAGAGGTGCCTTGTTGAAAGGGTTTAGGGTTTAGGGTTTATAGGGTTTAGGTCTTGGGGAACCAAATGAGCCACCAAAATTGGGATCGTATCACCGATGACTATATAACGCCCCCTGTTAAGGTAGATGGACCACATTAAACCTCTTAGGGTTCATTCAGTCCACAAGGCCGTCGTGGCCTATCACACAAGCTAGACGAAGGGCACTAGGACTTCACAAGGAGCAGCAGCAGCATTGTACGAAAGGTAAGACGGGACCGGAGATCCTGGGCATGATGATGGTTGGCATCCGACCCATCTGTCGCCCGAAACTTCTTCACGCCTAGAAACCCTAGAAACCCTAGAAAGCCCTATTAAACCCTATAAACCCTATAAACCCTATAAACCCTATAAACCCTATAAACCCTATAAACCCGACACTTCAATCCTGGGACCCCACAGAACGGAACCCTGACATCCAGCCCAGGCGCGAGGGGCACTGGAAGGAGTTGAAGAGCCTGACGTCGGGCGCTCACCGAACATGCTCTGGGGTTTCCTCCTTCTGTACTACAGGGGCCTCAAAAATTGGAGTAGGCTGTTGGGGGTGATTGTAGTTTATTGAGATAGGGACCATAAGGAAATGCTATTCGTAATTCTTCCGACCCCTATATTGCTTGTCTCGACTTCTTGCTGCTGTAGATGTGTGGCTGCTCTTATGGAAGCAGCTTTGCATGGACCCTAAACCCTAAATACCCTCAGCCCTGGCATTCTGGGAGCATCAAGGTGCTGCAAGGTCTTGGCTTTCTTGGGGCAGTAGATGATGAACCCTGAAACGGGAATTGACTGGGTAGGGTAGGATCCGACTGCCGTAATAGGGATACCAGGATATCGGATCCCAAATTCTACGGTTCATTTGGCCTCCACGGATCTTTTCAACTGTGCTGAGCAAGGGGCTTCGCCACGGTCCACGCGACGCCCACAATGGCGAAAAGCTGGCACGACAGCACGATGAAGCCCACCTGGCACAGGTGTAGCGCGGCGCTTTTGGGGGAGCAGGGGGCGGTCCTTCGTTAGGGCTTAAAGTTTAGTAAGAGTTAAGGGTTTAGGGTTTAGGGTTCAGGGTTTAAGCATTCTTGAAGCTCGGGAGCGAGAGGTTGTCGGGCTTTCGACAATCCTTCACTTGCCTCCTCAATGATGCCAGTCTCCAAGAAACGCCACTTCCTGGAACTCCGACAACCCTTTTCAAAGACCCCTGTTAGCTCCGATAAACTCCTGTAAGCCCCCGTAAAGGCCTACAACGCGAGAAACCCGCAAATCGCATAAGCCCTGCAAACCCCATGAAACCTATAATTGCACCCTATACCCTATACCCCCCACCCCCCCCCCCCCCCAAACAAACAAAAAAAAAAATCTCAAGGCTCACTCTGTGGCCTCGTAGCAACCCTATTTAAACAAAACCCTACACCCTACACCCGCAACCCTAAACCCTCGAACGCCGGCCTCGGGGCCGACGCTGCCCGAGACCATCGCCCTGCAAAGGCCAACAGCCATGGGTAGCGTCTTGCAGACCTGGCAAGTTTGTTTTTTTTTTTTTTTTTTTTTTTGGGGGGGGGGGGGGGGTTTAGGGTTTAGGGTTTAGGGTTTAGGGTTTAGGGTTTAGGGTTTAGGGTTAGGGGTTTAGGGTTGGGTTTAGGGTTTAGGCTTTATAAGGCTTTAGGGTTTGGGTTTAGGGTTTGGGTTTAGGGTTTGGGGGGGGGGGGGGGGTTCGGGGGCGGGGGAGGGTTGTAGGGTTTCAGGTTGTTAGGGGTTTGTAGGGTTTTTAGGGTGCAAGGGTCGTTAGGGTTTCTAGAGCTTATGGGGTTCAGAGGGCTGAGGGGAGGGGGAGGCGGAGGGGGGGCGGTGTAGGGTTATAGGGTTTCAGGTTCTTGGGTTTACAGTGGTTTAGAGTTTATAGGATCTTTGGGGTTTGTAGGGCTAATCGGGTTCAGACGGTTTCGGGTTCAGGGCCCCTGTAAGGGAATTCCTTAGGGCCTCCTTGTGGTTCCGAAAGTGATGCTTAATCGCATTTTGGGGCGTATGTGAGGCGTGTGCCCAATATTTTGGAGAAAATGCAATGGTCTGCCCGTGTCTGCCTGCATCATCTAAACAAGAAACCCTGAACCCTAAACCTTAAAGACCCTAAACCCTAAAACCCTAAAACCTATAACCCTGTAACCCTATAAACCCTAAACCCTGAACCCTAAACCCTAAATCTAAACCCTATAAATCCCAAACCCTAAACCCTAAAACCCTAAACCCTAAACCCTATAGGGTTTAGGGTTTATAAACCCTAAACCCTAAACCCAGGGGGCATCTCCCTGCAAACCCAAGCGGCGCAGCTAATCAGGCCCAGCCCCATGGAGATCAGAAGCTTCACCTGAAATTCGGGGAGGGAGAAGGGGGGGTTTAGGGTTTAGGGTTTAAGGTTTAGGGTTTAGGGTTTAGGGTTTAGTAGGTAAGGAGCCCGCCCAGGACCCGGAGCGAGCCTTGCCGGTGTGGTGCAACCTCCCGAAGATCAGTGCAAAGAAGCTGGCCTTCCAAGCGTTTTGTAGGGTGTAGGGTTTTATTGGGTTTGGGGTTAGGGTTTAGGGTTTTTAGGGGTTAAATAGGGTTTATGGGTTTATAGGGTTTATAGGGTTACAGGGTTTAGGGGTTTGGGGGCTGAGAGTCCAAGGCTTAGAGGGCGAAGGGTTCTGAAGAGGACGTGGACTCGTGGCGTCAGGGCGGACCCATAAAAACATAAAAAACCCCAAGCCTAAAGATGGGTTTAGGGTTTAGGGTTTAGGGTTTAGGGTTTAGGGGTTTGAAAGGAAAAAAAACCCTGGCTTCTTAAGGTACGGTTCCAGGGAGCTAAAGTTGGAAACTTAGCCACTCTACCCAACCAAACTGTGGAGTGCAGAGGCTATACGATTTAGGGTTTAGGGTGGAAACCCTAAACCCTAAACCCTAAAACCTAAAACCTAAACCCTAAACCCTAAACCCTAAACCCTAAACTCAAACCCTAAACCGCTAGGGTTCAAGAGCCTGTGAAGCCCAAGCTGACTGGGAATGCCTGCAGCCACAGCTGCGCCACGTTTTCCAGGAAAACCTCCGGCATCGCCCACATGTGGGTTTAGGGTTTACGGTTAGGGTTTAGGGTTTAGGGTTTAGGGTTTAGGGTTTAGGGTTTAGGGTTTAGGGTTTAGGTTTCAGCTTCTCTTCCAGACCGACATGAGCATCTTCCCTATGCCTTAAAGAC